AAGATGTCACTTCGTAGTTTACTTGTGACAATTTCGTCCTGGCTTCGGCATTCAAATACGGCCAGACTAAACTAAAGACTCTAAATGGGTAAAGCTCCAAAGTCCGGATCATGGATTCTTCGCTTGCATGGTTTCGTATCCCTCCTCAGCACCGGGTTCTGTAGTTATATCTGCCTTCGCTATTACTGCAGGAAAAAATGGAGTAGGTAAATGTACGTCGTATGATACTACCGTTTCATTCACGGTGGTTTGCGTTGTGCGGTATGAGACGTCAACCAAAAATTCAGTCAGTCAGTCACCAGTATCATTCCCAACAATATCAGTACTTTACACCTAAGGTGAAACCACAATGTTACCCAAACGATCCCATTGCCAAAGAAAAGGAACGGTAAGTAAACGGGGACCAGAGGAAACCTTCGGGAGCAAAGCACGTTCAGTTCGCAATCACTGCATACCCATGACAAATGTAGGAGGACAAGGTGCAATCGACTAGTTTGTCCCCTAACAGCATTCACTTCTCTTCATTTTCAACTTCATTGCGTGGATAAATCGGAGCCATGAACACACAGACACACAACTCAAACAGATATTTATGTTTGGAAACCATGCAGAATGTGTCAGGGGGGCACAACACAGGCCTTTCGTTGGAACATCGTGAGCCATGCACAAGGTGGAACGCGTAAATTTCAACCCAAAAAGTAAGACTGAGCTACTGCACCCAGTTTAATGGTCGGTGACTCCATCGCATGCGACTAGATCACCCCCGGACCTTATGCTATCCGATGTCCGGTGAACAGGGCACAGTTCTTCTTGGGAAACGATAGGCAAGTATAGCTAGCAAGTGCTGAAACGAAGGTGACTCATACAGTCTGGGCAGTTGAGTAAAAGAACTAGACTGAGCACCACTTCTCAGTACACCTGCATACAGTAACATTACGAACACGCAAGTGGCACCTGTACCAAATAAGTGCTCAATGAGCGATAATGGTCAGGGTGCTGAGGGCACCTGAGGCCCACAGATGAAACGGTCCAACTCACACTGCAGTCATGCACACAAGCAGATAAGCGTTTTTGTGGCACTAGAAATACGTGGATCTACTACGGCAATCATACATTTGTTACTGATAATGATACCACCAAAATCAAAGAAATGTAACCGTCGTCAGTTCATCGTTTCTGAAATCTTTGCATGGGTTGGGAGCTGGTGGCTATTCAACAGTGTTTGGTACCTTGAAGGTGTAAATTGCATGCCAAAAGCTGGAACCAGGTCACTGATATCGTCCGAGGCTGCTTGTTTCACATGGTGACTGTTGAACAGCAGGACGATGTCATCTGCTTAAGTCAACTTAACAAATGTTCGCTTAGGCACCATCTCAAACTTATGGTAATATCCGACAGGAAACATAGGGGAGTGGAAAAACCCCAGTTGACCCCACTCATTCTCAAAAAGGTGACCTGTGCCTCACTACAACATATGGGATATATGATAATTTCGCCAGCATCACAACAACAACTATAGCAGGAAAATTGATTGAACAACAAGACAGGTCAATTGGAGAGTCATTTTGAGGTGCTTGTTGTCTGACTGCTTTGCGACGAGTACGATCAAGAGAGAGAGAGAAAGAGAGATTTAGTCCAACGCAACTTCGAAACCGCAGGCCATAGCTACAGCCGGCCATCTGTAGGCATACTAATGTAGCAGTGCCTATGGCAGAGTATAGATATGGTTAGTGAAATATCGTCCCGGTCTGGAAAATTCTTGTCTTCCCTGTATGGTAGTCCCCTTTCATATCAAGGCAGTAGACTTGAATAGATATCGGTAGTTTTGCCACTATAGTGCTTAAGCTGCTAATACCGTGGTTGGTAAATACAATGCAATTCCCTTCTCATAGGTTTCTATTGTGATAGAGTCGCCCTAGTATATTGTAACCGTGTCTACTTCTCATAGCAGAAGAACTCACATGGATTCTTGAACGGCAAAGATACCAGGGAATCCGGAGCAGCAGCATGGAAACGGTTTATGGCTGTGATTTCCTCTCGAACCTCAACGACAAATTGAGTTCATCAAATAACAAGTCCTGGCTCAACCTGCACCATTTGAACATGAAGCAGATCAGAGGCAATGGGCCAAACGGACTGCCCCATTAAGTGTTCCGGCCGGCAATCCGAAAGGCGTTCATTGTGAGTTAGATCGTCCACGTTCCTTCTAATTGCCCCTCTGAAGATTGCCTTCCTTAAACCGTTACTGCTTCTCAATCTCCTGAATACACCGAGTCAACCAGGCTTCTGTTATCTTGCAAGCCCCCAAGTAACGCATCAAGAATGATCAACATTTCACGTTGCCCGCTGCCATCAGGGTTTCACCTTTTGCATGCAGGCAAATACACTCACCCTTAGGATTACCGGCGCCCGCAGCAGTAACGATGCAGGGTACCAAAAGAAGTGATTATTCGAGTCATTAAGTTTGGCGGAGATAATATTCAACTAAAAAGAGGTGTCCTCAGAACATACCGGGAAATTATTAGTAAGCAGATCTACTCTTACGCTTGTACAAAGCTGGGCCGATATAGCTACTTGCTTACGAGTCAATGTGAACCGTTTGGTACGGTTCTCTCAAAGGTTCTACAAAATGGGCAGCTTTCTAAAGAGGGACTAAAGATAAGATCCGATGGGAAAACTTATGGAGAGATGGAAGCCTCACGTTTAACCACACTCATCCCCAAAAGGTGGCCTACTTTCACAGTTGTCATAACAACACAACACGAGATAAATAGGTTGAACAGAAAAGATTGATCGATTGAGTCAAACGCACACTTGAAATCGAGGACCATAACTACAGTCGCATTATAAGTCACTCGTCTCAGAGAATTCATGAGCACATGCTGATGCATTGCTACACAGACGAAATGAGGTCTTCAAACAGTTCCATTATGTTGCACATCATCTACACACTTCCAGAAATTTCCTCGCAAGGCTTCCGCAAACAACCCCTATTTGTCGCCTAGACCGCATACATTCATCATCTGAAGATGGAACTATCTGTGCATAGTGGTAAATACACCGGATGCTATTACAGTGACCAACAGCCTCTGTTAACCGTTTAAATGATACCTGAACTATTTATTGTGGGCCGCTGAAATGTGATATATCCATTTTCATTTGTTCGCTAGCCTACCGTTTCTAACCAGTCTTAAGTTACCGAGTTATCTGTTTTCACAACCTGGATATCAACTCTCAACACGATTTGACGTTTACGACACCATCCTTGTTAAGTAAAGTTTTAAGTCTGATGAGAGTTTATTCGAGAAGAAATCTTAACCCAGCACTCAGCCCTGGTATTGATTTCCGTTGCTAAAATGGAATATTTGTTCTGGTGTAGGTCGGCGTCACTCTCGAATCACTCGAGCTTTTGGATGACAGAATATCCATACTCGGCTTTCGAAACAAGTGACAGTCAGGGATGCAACGAAGCCAGCTATTTCTCACGGTGATGTAGGCTATTCGGGTCCATCACCGATCCTCGGCTGTAAAATGCTAAATGGTACATGTGAGTCCATTGTATCTAAAAGTAGCGCTGCATAGAAACAGGGTTGTGATTGATGCCCAGTGCTGACGAACGCGTACCTTTGCTAACACCTTTAGAACCAAGCCCAGATTCGCCATCCAGCTGAAACTCTCCATTTTTACCCCTGCAACTAGAACTCCATTTGAGCTCACAGTGCAGCGAATTGTTGTGCGGACATTGCTGTGTCCGGACTACAGTTGCCTGGAGCATAAGTGGCAGTCACAAGGATGAGGTACCAAAGGATATTCTGGCGTCAGCCTAAACCTCAGTTGACACCGTCAAACGGGGGACACAAAAACGGCTGTTCACGAGTTTAATCAACTAACGAGAACAATAGTCACTATTGCTTGATCTGTGGTGACTGCATGGACACCTCCGCACGTACATATTAAGCGGAGGCAGAACGAGTTAGGCGTAGTTTGTCAAAAGATGATATGATTCCGGTTGCGGAGACGCGGCTCCCTAACACCTGGGATCTATGCTGTGCGTGTAGATGCGGGCTGTTGTCCTGCATGTTCTACGGTGTGTACACTAACCGTTGCCTGGGGTAGGGCATCTCAACTTCTGATAACGGTAGTCTCTTCGGTGTTGCGATATGGATACATGTGGCAGAAAAACAGTTACAATGGAGCAGTCATCCAGTAGGCTATGGATTGCGGAATTAAAGTTACTGGTGCAGAGTGAGAGAGTTACCAGAGTGTTCCTCTGGCAAGGAAAGTACTCCGAGCAGTGGACTGTTCTTGCTTAGCTGTCCTGCTGTACACTATGGACAAAGCAATTATGCCAAAATTGGAGCAGTGAGGCAATTGAAAGTTGTTGTGATTCTTAGTATTATTATTATTACTATTAGTATTATTGGACAACGCACCATGTATGAAAACAGCTAAGGAACGCAACTAATGCTTTTGATCCAAAAAGCTTGACCATAGCAATTAGTTGGTAAAAGTCCGCCTTTGAATACACTATGTATAAACAATTGTCATCCTATTCCCGGCCCGGGTTAGACAGTCTAAAGACTGTCCACTAGCATTTAACCAATGGTACACGTACCGCTTGAGATGCTCAAAGTCTGGACCAATAGATCGGAGGGATATGCGGATCGTCGTAACACGTCAAGATCTACTTTCTTTGTTTCAATATTGGTCATGATAATTTCGATTTATGTTATGACCCTCACTCATAAATGACTAATTCCTACCAGCCAAGTCGAAACGTTCCAATCTTGATAACTGTTGACGTGCTGCATCGAAACTGGAACGCAATCGTTTTGAAACAGATGGCGCTCAGTATCAAAATGTGATTGCCAGCAACCTGTGATGTTCAGAAACTCTCACCCACCATATATGCACATAATAAAGTAGATGACAATTTGGCACAATAAAGAAGACAGGAGTGTTCGCAATTAGTCCAGCACGGCAAGGAATTTGCGACTCACTTGAGTTTGATTTGCACTGGTTTGCGCTGAAAAGTTGAGGAAATAGGCGACGAACTTTTCCGCATCCAATTCCCTCATCAGCTTTTCTTGTACGTACACCGATTTTCCAGTCCCCGTGGGACCTATGAACATTAGTCGACGGTGTTTGTTCAAGCACAGTTCTATCATGTACTTGTAGCGCGCCGTATCCATTGTGGGTACAATTATCTCTCGGATGTTACGATTTTCTGACGGGTTCAACGATTTGTTCCGTTCCTTCCAGTGTTTCCATGACCCTCGGCTCTTGAACTAAGTGCAAACAAAGTATAGAGAAATAGCCTCACTCTGATTTTCAATGATTTACTGAGCCAAATCATACACTCACTAACATCGATGGAGTCACCTCACACGGGCCATCCAGGCGTAATGTTGACAGATGGTCAAAAACGCAGACAAGTTCTACTCTTGGATACGCAATAAATGTGACATGCGTACTCCGGATTCGGTTGGTTTCTAAGTGACAGTCTACTCCGTTAATGACACGGTTGCGGTTTAACCGCTCACCGATGCTGTGAAGCAAGCCCCGAAGGTAAAGGACACTGAGCTTTAGAGGGTAGAGGAGTCCGCATCAGCAGTACGACGGTACGCAATACCGACGCTTAGCTTCCGTGCAACCAACACCAGTAGCACGTGGACTAAGGATACTGCGAGTGTCGTCCGGTTCCTAAGCAGATTATAACCCGTACCCCCGGATTACAACGCAGGCTTGTGATGCTTAAGGCTATGGACCGGCGTTTCTTAGGGTACCTAGTAACAGGTTGATTATTCCTGCTTGTGTTGGCTTTAGCGATTATAATCTAAGGAATTTATTTGCCACATTATGACATGCTTGTCATTCGCTGTGTCCAGGTGATATTCTGGAGGAAGGATAAGTGAGCCATAGCATCTAAAAAGACGAGCAAAGTAAACGTAAACCAACGGGTATATCACTATGTCTTTATCGTGCCTTCATGCCTATTGTGACTCCGGACCCCATAGAAATTATCAGCCTACACTGCACAACTTTTACCGGACATTAGCATAGAATGTGAAGCAAATAACACAATTGATAGGATAAACAACAGGTACGAGGAGCTATATCGATGGAAAGCGTCTTCCACTTAGCATGCAATAACGAGGATGAAAAATAAACACTAGACTGGGTCGACTAACCTCATAGTAGTAGTCGTAAACTAATCCGCTTTCTGGAATTTGGAATTCGATTCGGGGCCCAAGCTCTTTCGGCACTGGATTGCGCTCGTCTTGTCCAAGCAACATAGCTCGGAGAAATCGGTCAAACTTTTGTCGTCCGTCTTGATCCAAACACCCACCGATTCCCCAAATGACACCAAAAGTGAATGCGGTGCATGTCCACAATCGGAGATAGCGATTTTCGGCAGCGTCCTCCTGATTAGCCAGATCATCGAGGAGCATGTTGACAAAACCAAGGCAAGAACAAACTAGGTGGGCTGGGCGCGTGGAGACCATGGAACGACAGTTGAGCCGGATGAATTCTAAGCATGGGTCGATATACCAATCTAGCAGCGCGTTGATCATATCACGGCCGTCGCCAGCCACCAAAACGGTAGGAAGCTGATTCAACCACGATCGAGCCAACGGTCGCCATCCCAAGGATCGAGGTTCCATGTAAATCATTCCACACCGTGAGACCGTGGCTGGCTATGCATTTTTGAAAGGGGGAGGTAAGCTATGATTACTCACATGCACTGTGGATCCGATGAAATGTCTACACAAGATAGTAATGTAGGCGGTCAATGCATGCAAAAGTGTTCCGGCTGTGTTTCCAGCCTTAAATCTAGACCGGAGTGTCACCAACAGACACAAGACTTCCGCAAAATTCTGTGAGAGGGCGCAGACCTTTGGTTTAATGCAATATTCACCAACGAGTTGATATCCTAAACCAGAATAAAAATCATTGTCCGATTCAAGCAGATGCTTTCCATGACATTCGGCTTTGCATACTCGGCAACCACTTATGGGATATAAGCAGTATACCTCCTTACTGAGCCCACCAGATGATTTGACGACTGGTTTAGACATAGCATACGCTACCATCTATCAAGTAGGCCTCAGTCCCATGACAGAGTCACTAATGCCTCGATTTGGGAATCAAAATCGAAGTCACTTGCACAACCATAAAACAGTGATTAAGTGGGGGAGTCCAATGCGAATGACGGTCACAATTCTGTTTTATAATTAGTGCTTTACTGAATTGAGTGGGTGCTGACGTCATCCGTCCTACTTACCTATGGCATTATGATGGCGATATATCTAATAGGTACCAAGAAACCTTAAACGACTATCTACCTCACTGACCTTAGACCCACCGAAATAATCCATGAAGAGAACTATGACTACGATCCAGCCTGGGACTTTTAGGACGAGTCATAGCAAATTGGACGATGTAAGTAGCACATCCGAACAGCCGCAGAAGGGTACATTAGCTGATGGCTCGTTCCCCTGTGCACAGTAAAGTGCGTAGTCCAACGCATTCCCGATGGAAGAGTAGGGATTGGAGAACACCCGATCTAATGTAATAAACAATGGGCTAACCGTTTAGACCAGTAGAACAGAGGATTCTAAGCGGCTTAAGGCGGTAATTTACTCTCATAACACGGTCACCGTAGGCATCGTCACTTTAGGAATAGAACACTACAGTGTTCACTCCACTTTATGCTGACCATTGCTGCCCGATAAAAGTGAAGTACCAGAGTACCTACTAAGCCTTGCAATGCACTTGGCCCTTTCGTCGCTGATTTAGCGGGTCATTTGGAAGCGTTAGTTGTGTGAATGGATTGCGACGCGCAAACACAATATGAACGGCGATCCGTATTGAAGTGAACCTTGATAAATTCGATCATTTGGACGGTAACTGATGAAGCAGGTAGATATTGGGTGTTTCCCGCTCGAAAAGATTGCATTCCACGACCATGTTTGACCTCATTTGAGCTCATCAGGTAGAGATAGCACACATCGAGACCTGGGCCATTGGGGCTTTAGTTGAAATCTCTAGCCTTTTAGCCACCGAGTCACGACGGGCAGCGTTTGCCATAGGAGGAAATAAGTTGTTTGTTGTATTATGCGTGTCGCGGACGAAGCCACTGACTATCGGTTGCCTCAAAGTTATACTGCCTCAGAGCGCATTTTCGTAGTTTATAGCACCCAATGCTTTGTTTCACCCCGCTACTTTATATGCCATTATGCATCGGAGCTACGGTCAATTAGCCGATGCGAATACCAGTGGAGGAAGAACTGGTTCGAAGACATTACTGTTTAAACCGATGGTGACCTGTCATTTAAATCAGGACGTTGGTTTAAGAGGAAGTGAGTTTCATTCAGTTCGGTCAATGGGACGCCATTTAAACTAACGCACAGTAGTTACTAAGCGTTTGTAACACTCGACGACCGGTCTAGTACCCAGTAACAACCATCAGGGGGAAATAGCAAGACTGCTATTTGAAACCCAGCAGTCTCGCCATATTAGCCGAAGCCACCAAACGCAAACCAACGAGTCAAAGCGCGCAACGGTTAGCGACTGCTTGGAGAGGCATTATCAAGCAGTGGTTGTGCAGATGAACTGTGACACGCAATGTGAATCAGGACCATAATACAATTTAAACTGAAGCTCGGATGACTCGGTCACGGGCACCGTAGCTAAATCCGGTATTCATCATTTTTCCAACTCGTTGCAGAGCGCTGTCATGTGGGGTAGCCTGAAATCTGCGGTCCCCAGGAGTAGACCACGGATCCCAAAGAATCTGCAAGATGCTCGAATTACAGAATTACATCATTCAAACCATGGAAAGCCCACCGGCTCTGTATGAAGCACATACCAACTTATACAAAACCATGATGGAAGCTTGGTTATATATACACCACGGTAAACGCCGAAAAGGTTCTTGGTTAAATATTTTTCCTCTTTTAGGGTTACTGGTTTACTCATCTAAATAAGTTCAACTCATTTGATGTCCTTAGATCCGCGTGAAGAAGTTACCCGGATCCCCTCATCCTCACTGTTGTTTGTTTGTACACCAATCGTTCACAACAGGTGCATGCACTCTACTGGAGTTGTCTATCATCAATCGATGGTCAGGTTGCTTCACTCATCCTTTACGACTCGAGTAGCCAAATTCCTGACAGTCGCTGCTTTCGCAGAAAGCCCTCGCTCAGCTGCGAAACGACAAGTGCGCCGGAGTCGACGGGATACCGTCAGAACAGTTGAAACACGGCAGACCCGAGTTAATACAAGCGTTGCATCACTTAGAGAAACGCGTGTGTTTGGTACAATGAACAATGATTTATCACGGGATAAAAGCAAGTGCTTGACATGTCCCGTAGGATGGTTGGGGTGAATACGATGAAATCAAATTATATCTGGGTCATCTACAGAACGTCTGCCTAGATGTATACTTTGATAAATTACATCAGTGTAAAATATAAAATAAAATCGAGCGTAAACGTTCAGAAAGACTCTGGGGTGCAGTGATCGTTGAGGTAAGACGTGAGAAAAGTAAAATATGGTTGTTCACTTGGGTCCATTTGATAGATAAATCCTGTTGAAAAGCATGCTTGGCGTAATCCACAATAGAGGAGTTTAGGTAACAGAATGCTGGGAGCTAAGAGCAACATCTAAACGTTTTTTGAAAACGTCCAAGGTAGGGGAGGATACAAATGAGTCTGGGAGTGCGTTCCAGGGTTGGCAAACCCGAGGGGAAAAGTAATTCCGTCGACACTCTAGACGGCTATATTGTTCCTTCAATTTTAAGCAGTTACCTCTGAGCTGCGTGTTGTGGCTAAGTTGCAGCAACTGGCGGCATACGTGGTTGGGGTCACTCGATATCTGATACGCTAATATGAGATCACCGCGCAGCCTTCGATAGCGTCCGCTGAAAATTCCCAGCAACTTAAGCCTTCGGTGGTAAGAGTGATAGCGCAGGCCATTTACATTCTTTGTTATTTTTCGTTGTGGTGCTTCTAACGCTTTGGGATCGCGCTTCAACCAAGGTTGCCAAGCTTGGATAGCGTATTCAACATGCGGACGCGGGTAGGAATTGTGCATCATTGGGAAGATTGATGGGTCGAATCTCCCGAATGCCCTTCGCAGCATGGCGACGTGCTGGTTGCTTCTACTCGCAGCTACCTTAGCCTGTTTTGTACACTTGAGGTCGCTCTGTACGATCACACCAAGATCACGTTCCTGGGAGCTATTCTGCAATCCGTTTGTCCCAAGCAAATAGGTGTAGTCATGTCTATGGCGTAGTCGTACAACGGGACATTTGTCTACGTTGAATAGTAGGGCGTTTTGAACTGACCAGTTCGACACCGTGTTAAGACCGCACTGGAGCCGTTCGTGGTAGGCCGGTCCTCTGATCCTTCGCCATATCTTGATAACATCAGCGAAAAACAGGAAATCGGTAGCAATTGATGTTGCCAAATCGTTAATGAACACCAAGAATAGACGAAGTCCAAGAACCGACACTTGTGGTACTCCACACGCCACATCGACTGCATCAGACAATGATTCTCGGACTCTCACCACTAGCTGTCGTTCGAGTAGAAAATTGCTAATCCAACTCAGGATCGGGTCGCGAATGCCGTAGTTCCAAAGCTTTTGAAGGAGAATTCCATAGTCTAAGCGATGAGAGGCTTTTGAAAAGTCCAGGTAGATGACGCCGACTCCTACTCCATCATCAACATCTTCAGTCCAGCTATTACGTGCAATTAATAGGTTAGTATTACACGAATGCTTTTGGCGAAAGCCATGTTGCTCTGGGGCTGTTAAGTTGTGGCTTTCCAGATACTGCATCAGCGCATCTGCGATGATTAATTCCATAACTTTGGATAGTACAGAAAGTAATGTTATTTGACGGTAGTTGGTAGGGTCAGTGCGGCTACCTCTTTTATGGATAGGAATGATGAGCCCTCGCTTCCATACTGGTGGAATATGGTTCTCTTCTAGACATCGCTGATAGAAAACAGCCAGTGATTCTGCTAGAAAACTAGCTAGAGGAAGTGCGGACTTACTTGAAGGATTCCCTGGTGCTATCAGGTACAAGGGCAAAGCAACCTAGGAATATGACAAAAATTATCCTGTGGGGAAGGTTAGCGCCTGAGTCCTGCTCAAGCGACTCGTCATTCAGATGGATGGATCAAAGTTGGTGGAATACCGATACGGATGCACCAAAGATATACTGTTCACTGCTCATCAGTTGCAGATGAAATGCCGAGAGCGACCGCAGCCATTGTAATCGCAGTTTGTTGATATCACCAAAGCATTCGACACGGTGAACCGCGAGGCACTGTGGCTGATGCTGAGTTAGTTTAATTGTCCGAGCAAGTTTGTAAGTTTAGTTGGATGTCTGCTCCACCCACAGCTCCGTCCACACATACCATATCCAGTGTAAGCCCGAAGGAATAAGACCGGGAGGCATGTGGATGGGGGCCACGTTTCATCAACTGAGGAAGCACAATCCACTTCAAATTTCAAGGCAGCAACATTCCTGTCTAACTACTTTGGGAATCATTCGTAGCAGACTTACACAAGCCGGTAGCTGAGCCTTAGTCCGCCCCACACTGCATGGGACCACTCATTGAGCTGAGCAAGGATATGAGGACAGTACACCCCGAACCACACAATCATCCATTTGCATATTAGATAGATTTGGAAAACATCTCAGCCACAGTGCCGCAATACATGAGAAACGAAAAAATCTACAGCAGAAGTACGCAAGCTGAGCTATCAGTAACGGATAGGCATCGATACAGTAAGATACCAGCCAAATACTATGAAGCAAAATATATTAATAAGCAAAATTTGAATTATGCTAAGGAAAGAGAACGCGACTGAATATGGAGGAAAACACAAAGGCTACTGAGGTCGGTTTCTAGCCACGTCAGCAAGTGTATCAAACCCAACGTGCTCATCGTCTTTCGGAAACCAACCAGGGAGCCGAGACTCTCCAAACGATGCCTGCTCCGAACTGAAGGACTATCATTGCTCTCGATCAAGTCATCGCTTGGGCACCTTTCCTATTTCTCATTCACACCCCAGGCACACAAATAACACACGACGCGGGAGTCGGTGGGCTGGCATGCGCAACACGTGGACCAGCCATCGGAGCTGTGGTGCATGATATAATGGTGTTGAGCGGTTCAGCTCCTATTCCTGTGCCGTAAACAAGGCGTCGAACACGCTCGTTACTCATGCGGTGTTCCCAACAGATGTGAGCCAAACTGCGAAGGCACCGATGGTCGAATGTAACTAGCCTCCTTATGTCCGCTGATCTAAGGGACCAGGTTTCGCAACCGTACAGTAAGGTCGAACGGACCGCTGCATTGTACACTCTACCCCTCACGGCCAGAGTGATGTCCCGCCGCCGCCATAGGTGGCGAAGAATAGCAAAAGCACTTCGAACTCTTGACATTCGGTTCGTGATCTCATCTCCAATCCCACGGGCACTGATACAACTTCTCAGGTACTTGAATTCCTGAACCACTTCTGGCTGATCCCAGCAAAGGGTCAGCTCAGGAGGCAGTTCAGGTCAAGCTGGGAGGAACGGTTTGCACTTCGAGGGGGCAAAGCAAAGCCCGAAGCGGCTGATGGCCAGAGCTAACCTGTCCAGTGAAGTCTCGCATTTCTGGAAGCTGTCACAGATAAGGGCAATGTTATCTGCATACTCCAAGTCAAGAAGTCCTTCTACTGAGATCAGCTCCACACCTTCTAACTCGTGTCCTGTAAATAGAGTCTCCTTGACTTCGTCAATAGTGAAGTTGGAGAGGAAAGGTGACAGCGGGCATCCTTGTCTCACACCGTTGACCATATTGAAGGGTGGCGGCAGATGGCGTAATCCCTCACTCTGCCTGAGCTGCGCGCGTATAGTACTCGGATAATATTTAGATATCTCTCAGGCACACCTTTCCTGGGTAGACAGTCCAAAAAGGCACATCGATCAACTGAATCGAAGGCACCTTTGATATCTAGGAATACGACAGTGGTGGGTCGCCAATATATGTGACGGTGCTCCAACAATTCGTCCAAAGTGAACATGTGGTCGATGCAGCCACGACCCTGAGGAAACCCGGCTTGCTCCTCACGAATCTGGCTTTCACGAGCACCAGTTAGTCTGTGAAGGATGACAGTTGCAAGCAATGTGGAGGCGATGGGATCAGAATGATTCCTGGATGGTTGCCGCACTCCCATCGTGAGCCCCCTTTAAAATTAGGACTATGACGGAGCGGCTCCAGTCAGTTGGGACAGTTTCCTGCTTCCACAGTTTCACTAGTAACTCGTATAAGTCATCCACCAGAGCGGGTGCCCCGAATTTGAAGAGGTCTGGGGAAGAAAATCTAGTCCTGCAGCTTTAGTTAACTTCAACAGTCCGATCTCACATTTGGCTTCTAAGAGAGAAGGCGAATCCATTGGGGCAGCTCACGGAGCATGGTGATCAGTGGCCGGCGAGAAATCTGGCAATTCCGACTGATTAAGTTGCCTTTCAAAGTGCTCAGCTCAACGGTCCAAGCGTTTTGACAAGTTGCGGATAAGCTATCCACTCACATCACGTATAGTTTCACTAACACCAGATCGCCTGCTGCTAGTTTCCTGTATCAGACGGAATAATTTCCGATGGTTACCAACGGCAACGGCCATTTTCATATCTGATGAAAGATGAGACCAGCAGGATTCGCCGTCTCTCTTCGGGCTAGCATGGAGATTTGCCCGGAGTTTTCTGAGAGTCCCATTGTGTTTGCTTGTTGCCGAACTGTGTTGGCGAGCATCGATAAGTTCCATAGACTGTGAAAAGACCCATGTCCATGTTGTCTATCAGACTTACCACATGAGGATTCGCCTGCTGCTAGTAAGGACTGGTGAATATGAGACCAGTGAGCGTTTACTCAGCTCGCATGTCAGTGTACTTTGATAGGCATTCGGAACAGCTGGCTAGTGTCAATGCCCTCACAGGGTCGTCGTCGGCATCCGCCAAAACGCACCCGCAGATCAGCACATACAAATACCTGGTCAGTGTCAACGCATGTGCTCTAAATTGATCAAAATTCTGGACGCAGTCCCTCCTGCGATAACTGGTCGCCATGTGATCGATTTGCGTCCAATACGGGTCTGAGGCTGGTGAACGCTTTGTCACACTTCGGCGGGTGCTGTGTCTGAAGTTAGTGCTCGCAAGAAATAAGCGATCATCTTCACACAAGTGAAAATACCGCTCATCATTATCATTACGGGAGCCTACGCCGTGTTGCCTTCCTAGATGCAGATCATCAGTGGACAATTTTCCAACTTGAGCGTTCAGATGCCCAGCCAGCACAGCGGTGTCCGTGCTTCTTCTGTGGCGAAAGGAGCTCGTTCAGTTGGCGATAGAAGTCGTCCTTTACTGAGTCATCGTTACAACTTGTAGGCGGTAGGCAGCAAGGACGAACAGACACCTATTAGTCCAGCGCGGCTTTGAAGCTGTGAACGAGCCAGCTAATCGAATCGCACACATTCGGTTGCTGATTGGTCTCCAATCAACCAGAGCAGCTTCAGCCCGCTGACTGAAGAAAATACTAACACTGGCTTGGCTTGTACTCGAACCTGCATCGTCTCTGGATAGGCGCAATGAGAAAGTACTGTTGGTGTCACCTGAAGGGGATCGCAAAGTGAGCATAGATCTCGAGTCTTACAGGCGGGTTTCCGATAAGCAGTAGATATCGATTGAGAGGGTCGCTAATGTTCGGGCAAATGCTATCTGTTGAGCGATGTGTAACAATGTGGTTACATTGAGGCATGCCAATATGAGGGAGGATCGAGGGCACCAAATATAAGCCAACGAACTGGATGAGAGGGTTGTCCTGTTCTCCCAGCTAGGCATTTCTGTTGCAGACTTTTCGTTACCAAGCTAGGCAACACCTTCAGTGCAGCTATTAAGTCCTGATGCGAGAAGTCTCGCAAACCACTGCCAGATGAGAATGAATATTTGCTTGCATACCACTATGCAGGTAATCAACTTACCCAACACCAGCCACAATGCCCCGCGATTCACCGTAGCAAATGCCTTGGTGAAATCAACAAACAGCAATTACAATGTCTGACGTCGCTCTCGGCATTTCTGCTGCAACTGACGAGACACTAATAGCATATATGTTACGGAGAGCCCGCGCACAAGCTGAGAAGCGTGGCACAAGAGTGGATCGATCTACAATTGGAGACCGAACTCGAGTAAATAGCACAATGCGAATCAACGTGGAATCAACAGCCAGTCGGACTATAAAGTTTAACCGTTGCATTTGTGTTAATTAATATTAATTAGCATCTCCGATTTGGTTCTGTTAGGATTTTCCTACTACCTATTTATTGTGCCATGCTCTCGTACAATAGAATCAGAATGCACATCGAAATCCCTCGGTCCGGCCGTTTTCTTGGCGTGCTCATTTCCTTGCCGGTTGAACAGGCTGGGAGGGGGTCACAGCAGATTCAGGCAGGTTATCCGTAAAATCATCGGAAACTACGACACATTTCTGCCGACGATCAGCTGCACAGTAACAGCAGGTTAGTAGTAGATTCAGCGGCATCGCAGCAATATATATGATGCATCGTATGGAATCCGCATTGCTCTTTGGTACTTGCGATTCGGTGACCTGTGACGAGGCGGTTGAACAGGGTTCGTGCTAACAGTTTACCAACAGATCAGCAAGTTGGTATCAGGAAAATTCTTCGCAGTTTGCCTGCTCCCTTTGCTCCTGTACAGTGGTAGCACAAGAAAATCCTTCAACTCAGTCGGCACTTCCTCTTCAAAACACACGCGTTTCTTAAAGTAGTACAACGCATGTATAAACTCTGGTCTGCCGTGTTTCAACACTTCTGACGGTATCCTGTCGACACTGGCGCGCTTGTCGTTTGGCAGCGGAGCAAGTGCTCGCTGCGTATCATGCAGTGTCGGTGTGTTGGTAAGACATAACCTCCCGTTGTTGCAACCCGTGGATTATATCCCATTCAATCTCTGAACGGGTGTTCAAGAGACAGTCAAAGTGCTATCGCCAGATTTGCGTTATGTCTGCAGTCTGTGTGCAGGTAGTGCTTGGATTAGCATCCACCAGCCTCCTAATCGGCTGCAGGGTGGGTCCAAGCACATCCTTCATGGAGTCAACAAATTCCTTATCGCGGTGGCGTTCGGCATAGCATTCCATCCGCTTCGCCTCCTCCGTCCAACGAGCACTATTGAAGCGACGGAGCCCTCGAGTCAATCGCCGTCAAAGTTTGCTAAACAGGCTTTCTTTATCCGAGTCTGCAACGTCGTCCACATGTGCAACGAATACTGCATTTGTCGCCGACACCAAACAACTGTTATCATTAAGTCAATAAGACCACTTACAGTTCGCGCGCCCGATAGTTTCTTCTGCCACAACCACCATCTCTTCACCGATGTGTTACCACACATCGCTAACTGATGCGAGAGAAGCAACGTTGTAAAGCGCGTTGCCATCGCCTTTTCCAGCCCCATCCTCTTCTCAACAGTACCTGCCGGTTTACGGTAGATGAGTAATATATATATTTACGAAAATATATGTACGATTTGGTCCGCAACAACTTGTGATCCGTGCCACGGTACACGTGTCATGCGCACACCCCATATGCCACGCTGGAGCACCATGACATAGTCGAGAAAGTGAGCGTGACCACACAGTGCATGTGTTCAAGTAGTTATATCATTTGCACACTGTGCCAGCTGTGTTCGTGATCGTCAGGCCATGAGTGACAGTGAGAGCAACCGGTCACCGTTTCCATTGACTGTGCCAACACCATATGGACCGACTACGTCTGTCCACACCGCGGCATCACGCCTAATGTGTGTGTTAAAATCACCCGATAAGAATAGCCGGTCTGTCATCGGCACGGAACGTATCATGCATGACAACTGAGTGTAAAGCTGATCCCTCACGTCATCAGAATAGCACATGGTGGGACCACAGGTGCTAATGAAAGTGACAAATTTACATCTTTTAAATCGCAGTTGACGAGTCATCGATCGTGCGCTGATGCCGGTCAGGTCTGCCACTTGCCGGCCCTTTAGGCGGTCGGACATTGAAAATCCGACCCATGATTCACGGCAGTATTCCAGCAGTCTGTAGCGCGAACACCGGACAAATTATCTAAGATCTTCGAGAAATCTCAGCCAAATGTCCAAGAGACGAGTGCATCCAAGGTGGATACTAGATGCATTAATGTAGACATCGATAATCTAGCAACATGGTCAACTAGCTCCAAAGTCGTCCTTCCTTGCTCCACTGAAAAACCTTTTACACAAGGAACGGATAGAGCAGGTTATCCTATTTCTGACAACAACACCCATTATATCGAACTCCTTATGCACAAGGATTAAGGGGAAGTCTAAATTGTTGGAACAGTGGAGTAATGACGATTCCTTGAATATATCACAATACGGTCAAAACTAGCAAGACATGTCCAAGGATAGACAACCTGATGTAATTCATAGTCCACTGTCACCCAAAGACGACTTCTCCGATCCATAGACCTGTGTCTTTAAAACTCGTATGGATACTAAATACTCGGTCGCACCCAAAATGCTCTATCGACCAACCTCCTACAATTACCAGGGCAAACAACCTTCCAAGTTGAATAAAACTAATAACAACTGTCTTTTGGCTACGCCTAATTATCATCCTACACTCCACAACAATCACTGGAAGTGCACAGATAATGGAAGGCCATCGATCAGTAGGACTGGGTTACCATCCGCACTTTTCCATGCTCCTTCAATCTCTCAAGCGGTTTCTTGCAACAACCATTTTTTAGCGGCGACGGGAATGCACTCGCACCCATTCCCATCCCAGATACATCCGGCAGAGGTCAACACCTTGATCACACTCTTCCTCCAATTTGTCCAGATGACAAAGCTAGTCCATTGTCAAACCAACGGCAACTTAAGCATGATATCTGGGTTCCCGTCGTGCCCCCAACTGTCTCGATATCCCCACATGACATACCACCATTATCTAATGGCTAACTCGGGCCCACCATACTCGCACTTATCTACCATGTGCACCATGCTCGAACGCAAAGATTCAGACGATCA